GGAGCTGAGATCATAAATGTCAGTCTGTCAGTGTGATGGGTTCTTTATGAAAAGAAAAAAAACCTGAGTGAGTGCCTCAAAAGCTGTCATCAAACCGGAGATTAAACAGATTCATCTCATTCTTGAAGCAAGCATCAGCAGAGGAGGGCTCCTCTTACTGCTTTCCCATCTCTTCCTTCCTCCTTTCCTTTTATATTTTCTCAGCCCACATCTCTACTGGGCTTAGAGCTTCCCACCCTCTCTCCGAAATGCCATGAAAGAGCCATCAAGATTGTTAGTAAAGCCACGTGCATACAGCCTGCAAACTCTGCCACGACAGGAGAGTAAGAGAGTGGGATTCAGCTCTGACAGTTGTAGCACTGTTTATTTGGAAAATTGAGGGGAGAACATAGTAATGAAGACAAGAACAGTGACAGTAAGGAACAAATGTGAGTTTCTGTCCAAGACATAACAGAATTTTTAAGAACACTACTCTGGTGGTTGTTTCCAGACGAGCTTCCAGTTTCAATCTTGCTCAGCTGAATTACCTTGTTCTCTCACTTCAAATGGGAGTTTGATAGAGTCACCACAATTAGAAGAATCTGCATCATCAGAGATTAGAAGAATCTTTATTTCTTAACTCTGAACTAAAATTGCAGTAGGAGAGCATCAGTGGCAGTTACTCTGCTGAGCAATTTCTTTGTGAAATTTTGGGGATGTCTCACCTTTATTGCTTGTCTTCATTTCTACAGAAAAGTTTTACTTGTTTTGACATCTGCAGGTCAAAGGAAAACATTCTTTTCTTTTTTTTTTTTTTTCTTCCTCAGGCTGAATCATAGAATCACAGAATACCAGGTTGGAAGGGACTTCAGAGATCATCTGGTCCAACTTTTCTTGGCAAAAGCACGGTCTAGACAAGGTGGCCCAGCACCCTGTCCAGCTGAATCTTAAGTGTCCAATGCAGAGGAACCCACCACTTCTCTGGGGAGATTATTCCAATGGCTGATTGGGCTCACTGTGAAAAATTTTCCACTTGTGTCCAATCAGAATCTCCCCAGGAGTAACTTGTACCCATTACCCCTCATCTTTTCCATGTTACTCCTTATAAAAAGGGAGTCTCCATCTTCTTTGTAGCCACCCTTCAAATACTGGAACATGGTGATAACGTCTCCCCTAAACCTTCTCTTCTCCAGGCTGAACAAACCCAGTTCTCTCAGCCCTTCCCCACCTGGCAGGCTTCCCAGTCCTTTGATCATCTTTGTGGCTCTTCTCTGGACCCTCCCCAGCCTGTCCATGTCTTTTTTGTATAGCGGGGACCAAAACTAAACACAGTATTCCAGGTGTGGCCTGACAAGGGCTGAGTAGAGTGGGATAATGACTTTATCTCTGCTGGTGATGCCCTTTTTGATGCAACCCAGCATCCCGTTGGCTTCCTTTGCCACTGCACCTCACTGTTCACACATGTTGAGCTTGTTGTCCACCAGGACCCCCGGGTCCCTTTCTGCAGAGCTGCTCCCCAGCCGGCTAGATCCCAGTCTGTGCTGCACTCCTGGATTATGTTTTCCCAGGTGCAAGACCTTACGCTTGTGCTTGTTGAACTTCATAAGGTTTTTGTTAGCCTAATCCTCCAGCTTATCCAGGTCTTCCTGCAGGGTGGTTCTTCCTTCCAAAGTATCCACTTCCCCACTCAGTTTGGTATCATCAGCAAACTTCATCAGGGTACTTGCTGGGTATTTGTTGGTTTAGGTGTAATGGAAAAACGCAAGTTGAGTGTGGAAAATGTTTCTTAAAAGCAAAGCAAGAAGTAATTCTTGTTGCACAAACCATCATTCTAAGGAAAGCCACTGTCAGTCACTGATTGAAAGAATCCTCTGCAGCCAGTTTGGATCATTGAATGGTTCACACTGAGAATTTACTCTTGAGTCTAGTTGCAGCACTTCACCGTGTTCCTAGTTTGTTTTTTTTTTTTTTTCTGCAATCCAGGTACTAAAGCTATGCATAACAATTTCTTTTTGCTATCAGATCTCTGAAGTTTAATGTTGCAAGATTCCAGGTTCTGAAAGATTTGTGTCCTGTATTGCTTGTGTCAGTTTTGTGGAAGGCAACGTGATCTCAAAGAAATGCATGCAGGACCAAATCTAAAAGTTCTGATTTCTGATCTGTGCTGTCTCCTCGTTCTTTGTACTGGCCCATGACAAGATGTAAGCATGTGTACTGTTGATCTGGTTTGTAATGAGTATTAGCCTGTGCTTGCATGTTCAAGGTGCTGTGCAGTCAGTGATCAGATAGCTGGTACTGTCCCTGAGTGTCAGGCTAAGTTTACCTCAATGTTACGCTGTTTAATTTATGGCAAAAAGATGGGCATTTTAAAAAATGAGGTACCTAAATTTTAATTTCTATCATATTAAACAACTTATGTTAATATTCAATTAATCATTACTGGTTAACAGGAAATGTATGATTAAATATTTTAATTATAGGACTACTAGCCTGACTTGGGGTAGCTGTTTTTCTCATTAAGGCACATGGCTTCATTAACTGATTAGATACTGGTTGACTCATACACATGAATCCCTTATTTTGACTTTATTATAAGCAGACCACTAACTGCTTTCTATCGGCTTAATTCACAATGCCAAATTTGCCTCAGAGAACTGCCAGGATGGCTTATGTTTTCAGAAGCAAAGACGTGTGGGAAGGGGCTATTTGAAAACAGCAGCGTGTCTGTTTCTCTGAGTAATGAATAAACTACAAGTCATGTCGTTCCTCATCTTTCACAACAAGGTGAGCTGGAATGGATTGCACTGAACCCTGAGTCTGCCAGGTTGCAGTGCACAAGCTGCCTGTAGAAGCGTGCACCCTAGCACATTCAAGGCTAGCCCACTTTTTTAGGCACTCTGAAAACAAGTGTTTGTGTGATAGCATTGTTGTCTTGGAGTGTGAGTTGGGATCTCTGTTCAGGGAGTCGGGCAGTCTGTTCAGAGGATCTTTCTCGTGGATCATCTTCTGCAGAGATTTAATTTAAGATTGGACTAGGTGTTCCATAACTGTATTAATTCATTCTACGCTACTGCCATTTCCTTGTCAAGGCTCCGGCACATCAGGCATGCAGAGGAGGAGTGCATTACCTACTGAATGTTAGTTTAGGCCTAATAGATGTATTTTGTAAGGTGTAAGTTGTAATCTATGACACTGATCAAAAAGAAGGCTGTATTGAGGCACATGTCAGATAAAATTATTGCAGCTTAATAAAAACTTATCACCTGTAAACTGTGCAGAAAGCAGTTCCCTTTCCTATGAAATGTGAGATGTGGAGACTTTGTACTTATGGTAAAGCCAGGCACATTTTCAGCATATCTTAAGAGCAGTATGACAGAAATAAAGTAGACCCAGGTGAGGCAAGTTGTATATTTGCAAGAGCTGTAATATTGGAGTCCAACAACTAGAAAAACACTGTAACACAAGATCTGAAATACAGGTAAGAAAAGTGGGTTAGTTTATACAGCATGTGAGGAACCAGGGAACGTTAACAGAGCATACCCTGGAGGGAGAGGCTAGCATGTGTTCCTAGTCTGATTTCATTAGGTATTTCCTCAAGGAAAGTCATGATGTTGATAAGCAGTGGATCAAGTAAGATCACTGAAATAACAAGGATATGGATAATCTTTTAGCCACAGCAGTTATCTTTTCCTGGCTTATCCAGGACAGCTAACACAAAGCAGACGTGTTTTCCGTAAGCACAGGACACCATGCAATAGAAACTTAAAGGTAAAAAAATGCTCAATAGGCTACTATCCTGCCAAAAAGATATAGTTATCATGTTATTTGTTGGATTAATGTCCTTTCAAAATGGATTTAACTGAACTAATGCTCTTTTGTTTTTCCTTGATCATCATCTTGCACTAGAACATTATTGTAATCAGTCACCAACTTTCAGCAGTTAGTTTCCTTACAAAACTGTTACAAACAATTTAATTTTTAGTACAGTTTGGATTACATTTATTTGCAGCTTCCGTTAAAAAGAAATACAGAACTGATTCTGCAATGCATAGGTTTGGCAAGGGAAAAATGTCTTTTCTAGCCTGACCTGACTCAGATTGCAGAGTAGCAGACCTGCTGAAATCCACGGCCTCTGAGATGCCACAGAAATAAGGCTTGGGGATCCCGTGTTCCAGTCAGTAACGTGCATTTCATGTGCTACTCTAGAGCCCTGGTCAATATACTCTCCCTTGTAAAAGGTATAAAAAGAAAGAAAAAAAAAAAGGACACTACACTACCTGTAGTAAGACTGTCCTGAACTTTAACTTCTTAAGTCTTTCCACACACTGTTTTCTTATAAGCTGAAATTTATGAAGTTATTAATTCAAATAGAATTCTGACTAATTGTTTAAAAATGGCTGAGCACTTTGAATTTAATAGCATGCACGTACAGGTTGGGCTTACTCTGTTTGGGTTTCTATTGTTGGTGGGTACTAATTGAGATTTAAATTGTTAACCATGTGGAAAGAGGGAAGGGGACAGTATGGTGCTTTCATGTATTGCCTTCAGTCATAAGAGATACGGTTTACATGCTGTGCCTTAAAACCCTCCCTCCTGCCCAGGCAGGAAATAGGTCCAACCTGCATTCCGTTGTTTTTCATCAGCAGCCTATTTCAGTTAGCTTGTGTGGGGAGGATGAAGAAGGCACCCAGGAGAAACTAAATGAGATGACGGATGAAGCCTGCAATTGTTTAGGATGGTGTGTACTCTATATGACCCAGCCATGGCTGGAAGAAGCTATTTATTTTATATTCAGTACTGCTAGCAGGAGGGGTTCTTATAGGGAGCAAAGATAATTTGTCCTTTACTTGATGCTCATTTTAGTTGTTAAGAAAATGTGTATATGCAATAGAATGGCACAAGTATCATGCTGCTTGGTGGTGACCCCAGCTGAAAATAATATACCTTCAATCTGCCCAAAGGGATGCCTCAGCAAGGAAGTTCTAATATTTTTCCTAAAATATTTGTTGTGAATACAACAGATTCACAGTCGGAGAGTGAGGCTTCTCCTGTGAAACGGCCACGGCTACTGGATGACAGTAATGACAGGCCTGAAGAAACCAGTCGATCCAAACAGAAGAGTAGACGCCGATGCTTCCAGTGCCAAACAAAACTGGAGCTAGTACAGCAGGAACTGGGATCATGTCGCTGTGGTGAGTACTGCTTGTCAGCAGCGTCCGGCTTCCTCATGCAGCCATGCTCAGATCCCTACCAGAGGTGAAAATACAGAGAACACTTGCATTTTTTTTACCTTTCTAAGATACTTTAAGCAGAAGCTGTAGCTTCCACTGGTAGCGAAAAGTTATAATTAGCTCCTGTCTAATTTCCCCTTTAAAACTTTGGCCTTGATGTACTGCCTTGTCTCAAGAGATCTCAGATGTTAATGAATTGAGGTTCAGAAGTCCCTGTAAGATGAGAGAGCGTCATAGCCACTTGACAGAAAGAACACAAAGCAAATCAGTAAATATGCAAGGATGACAGTGTTTTTACAGCTCTTAAAGGAACACAGGTCAGCATCTACATTCTGCATTTTATAACTATATTATTATTAAAAAGTTAAAGCCAAAAGAACCTCTAACTGAAAATATTTTCATTCTCACAGTTAGCTGTTGGGGGGAAGACTTGTTGTTCATCATTCACAGAAAATCAGCCAACCTGGCTTTTCCAAAGTTGATGATACTGTTCAGCTAATTGAATTGAGGATGATAATCTCATGCAGACAGCTAATTTGGCATTTCATATTACATGCAAATAATATTTCTGAAATAATAATTAATGTGACTAGATTCCAGAGGAGATGCTCTCTCCTTCGTGGAAAAATTGTGTTCATAACTGGTTTAATGTGCTCATCAGACCCAGTGATAATGCACATGGTAGTTTTACTTGTTAATTATTTTTTCAGGTAATCATGTATTGAAAGCTTAAACTTATGCTCTCTGACCATGCTTGTATTGATACATTTGGAGAAGTTTGTTTAGTTCATTATGTCTCAGTAGCAGGATAATTTCAAAAGGATTTGCATAGATAGGTGCAATCAATTGACACTGCACCTGTGAAATGTAGAACGTTGTACTACATCATTTTCTGGAGAGAAGGGGAGAGAAAGGATTGACTAAGCTAGTTACACAGACCCAGTTAATGAATTCTGTATTGAATACCTAGTATCAAGTGAGGTGATGGAAAGCTGCAAAGATTCCATGTTATCCTTTGTTCTTTTCTTCAGCGTCCACCCGTCTGCAGCCTCTTTAGAGAGTACTGGTGCATTGTGCTTTTTTGAACATGAGACAGACTTTCTTTTAGATACTGGGGCATTGCCACAGAACTAAAATATATTATCTGTGAAGGCGCCAAACATGAAATTAAAAGCTATAATGTTGAAATTCTTGTTATGGAAATCATGTGTCTGGATACTTTGAAGTATCCAGTAAGTTTTTTATCAAACTGAAGAAACTCAGTACTATCAGTGACACAGTTTGGTATGACTTCTGCTCAGCATGGTAGGGGCAGGAGCTTCTGCTCTTGGTCTGCTGCTGTCACATACCACATGACTAAGGCTGCTCACAGGTACCTGACTGAAATAGAAGAATCCTCCATAATATTGGGAGCAAGAGAGTTTTACAAGTTTGGGGAGAACTGGAAAAAAAGGTGACTTAGCAATTCTGCAAAATTGGAGCTATGTAAGCGCAATGAAGTTGAAAGCAACTTTTTAAAAGTCATTCCACTGTTTAGTAATGTATTTTAAATTAGAAAATGTCTTGCCTTTTATTTAGTAAACTGAATGACAAATGCATCTAGTTGGTTCCTCTCAAGTTTTTTTGAAGTAGTTCCATAATTCGACATTGTTGCAATATAAATGTTGCAGGGATTAATCTTTAAATTGTTTCCACTGGATATATACAGCTTTATGGAAATACTTATGTTAAAGTTCATAAAATGTGTTATTAAAACATGAATATGAAACAAATAATTCTGAGTTGCTCAGCAATAAGCAGGGAAATGAAAATTTGCATTCCTATATTATATCCTATATACGATGTACATTTATATTCCACACATTTAATGAGGGAAGTGGGAGGCAGGAGTCCACTTCCATGTTTACAACACAGCTGAAAAGACTGGAGATCTTTGGTTTATCTGTGCAGCTATAATGTTTCATTAATACTGTATTCAGAATGTATGTGTTATCTATAATGAAATGCCCCCATGTGATGTGAAAGTAAGGCATACCCTGCATTACTTACTTTTAATAGTAATATTATTAAGAAGCAAACGGAGTCTTACCACTGAGCAACACAGGTCATCTCAGCTTCACGTCACCTAAAGTGCTTTACCCCAATACTCATCAGCATGTAGCTTTTGTCATTTTTAAAGAAACTGCGTTAGAAACCATTTTCACTAACTTTGCCATACTATCAGTAAAATTAGGTTGCTTTAGGCCATGAATGACAAGCCAGATCAAATACCCTGGGAAAGGAGTGATAGGAAATGGGAAGGAATAAATACATTAAAATTCTCATTCATTTAAAATGTTTTCTAAATCCATGTGTGATCAGGTTATCCTTTTTGTCATAATGTGAAGCACAGGTAATGATGCATGTTTAAATAGAAGTGTTGGAAATACAATCAACTGATACAAAATAAGCAGGTATATTATTCAGAAGTAATGGTCAGGGTAGAAGAACATTGTTTGATCTGGACTTCAGACACTGCTATTAAATTCATTGCCATCTTAATCCGTAACTGAAGCAATGGAAAAAATCCCTCAACTTTAAAAGAAATTCTGATAGTCAGAATTGATAAAAATGCAGATGTGATCTTTAGAAGGACAAACGGGTCAGTCTGCATGGATTTAAGGAGAAAGGATTAACCACATAAATGCTATGTTGATCCAAAGCTATGTCTGCAACACTGTTGTTAAAATTCGAATTAACTCTTTAAGACTGCACTGAACAGCTATTTTATTCTTTGCTGTTATACATCTTCTTGTCCTAATGTTAAAAAGTATTAGAAATCATCTAATATTTTGCTGATGTGTCCTGGTGACTCTTCCAGTGAGATTTTTAGTCAGACATAGTGGAAAGAAAAATCCATACATACTGAACAATGGTTTAATATAGATATACCTGGAGATATTAATCCAACATAACTGGGACCTGTCCAACAGGGCACAACATTTTTAAAAGGGGACAGAGAGAGTGGGCTGCTTGAATTCTTAGATCTTTGGGAAACTGCTGTTTTGTCTCCTGTAAGACCTGTCCAGAGAGGTGATGCTGCTGAGCTCTTTCCCTTGACACACTACATGGAATTTTAGACAGATTTGACAATGCTGCAGTGTTTTGCCATGAAGAAAAACAATTCACTACTGAGAAGGGAGTTCCAGTTAAGGGTTCTTCAAATTCAAACACAACATTTTTCAGCAGTAGAAAGATTTGTTTATTTTCATACATGCATACTCTCAAGATCATTTTTCATCCTGCTTCCGCTCTGTACAAGTTATTAACTGCTGACAAGAAATTCACATCTCATAAATAATGCTTAAGAGCCATTGCTATATAAATTGAATGTGTTATGAATTGTGATGGGCCTTTTTGTAGCATTCTGTGCCTGGAGCAGGAAGAACAGAGGATGTCATTTTCATTAATTTCTAATGAGGTGCCAATTAAAGGCAAGGAAGGAACTCAGAAGGGAAGAGTCACAGAGCTCCCCTGAATCCTGTACCCTGGGGCTGTCAAACGAGCATGCTGCCAAGCCTCCTCTGAAAGTTCCAGTAAATTACAAACTCATCCAGAGCGCACACAGACAAATTCAGCTTCCCTTTGATCTTCAAAAGAGCAATTTGTAAGACGAGTTCTGAGCCTTTTCACACAGTGAACTGGGGGAAGTGATAGGAATTGTTAATTGCTGATGCACTTTGCAAGCTTCAGTGAGAAATTTTAAAATGAATTCTCATTTGGTGCCTCTCTGACTGGATAACCTTTAAATCAACACTACTAGAACACAACCAGCTTCCTATGAAACGTTTCTAGATGACAGTTACACTAGGCATGTTTTTCAGATGGTGATGTTCTCTAGTTTTGGGTGGGCCTCTCAATAGCGTAATGTCTTACGGCAGACAATGATTGTATTGAAATCATGTATTTAATATTATCTTTAGTAGTCAGTTATATCATCAGGAATTACAGGAATAATATTCTTTAAGTTACATTCTCTTACAGCATTTCTACTGAAAGTGTAAGCAGTCCAAAATCAATTGCCTGTGGTCCTTGATCTGAAAATTGTCAGCTCAGTGATGTGATAAGCCACGCAAACTTGCTTTAAAACTAGGGGTAGCAAATTTGTGAACGAAAGTAGCTATATAATACAGAGTTCTGCAAATGTATTTTAGAAAAAGGCAGGTTGATTATTTGCAAATTGCGCTATAAATTTATGGGCCTTGTCTTAGTTACTTGACTAGATGTATATTGCTACTAAATAAAGTTTTTATTTATGTTTTTAAAAGATAGTGAGCTGTAAAATTCTAAGCCATAGAAATTATTTTCCCAGAAAGCATAGCTTAATTTTGTGGCAGAAGCCTAGTATTTTACAGCAAAAAGTGGTTCTGGTGTCACTTGCTATGTAAAGCCAACACACAGGAGTCTGTTGTGCTCTTTAATATTGTTGGAATTGCATAAGACGTACAAGGATATTCTAGATGATCAGTAAAGGAATTTCACATCCATCATGTTAAACCCAGTCCTAGTCAGCAATTACAGTGTGCCAGCTCTTCAGCAGCTTTTGTGCAGAACGATTTTTCTGTTTGTAGGCCACATCCTAATGGACATGTCTGAAGCTCAGGCTCCCCCTTACCCAGAACTCTTGGCAATCAGTGGAGTGGCCAAGGTCATGGGCCCTGGAAAGTAAGCCTGTCTTTAGCTTCCAGTAGCAGTGACTTAGAGGGATGTTGCTGATTTGTTTGTGTGCCTCTCAGATAGGAATCTCAAGTTTTTCAGTTTCTTTGGCCAGAGTAGATGCTTAATATGGTGGGAAGGCACATAAACCTTCCATTTCGACCAGACTGTATGTAAAAATGACTACTCAGTTGTAGTGCAATCTGGTCAAACAGTTGTTAGCAGTATTTCTTGCGTGTGTGGACAGAAGATACTGTCTTGGAGTT